CAAAAAAATCACACTTCAATCAAAGCGTCCATATTATAACATCTTTATTTTAAAATGATTTTAAGTCCAAAACTAGTAGTTGTGACATTATTTTAATATGTGACCAATAGGTGCAAATTTCTGCTAGACGTATTTGTTACAGTGGTTCAGCACAATAAGAAAAATCTGAATGACATCATCCCTGCTATTGGGCTATGCTACTCCATACTTCTCTACAAACGCAACCATGAGCTTAGTCTTGTCCAAAGGATGAACACTGTGTTATTCATTGACGGAAATGCAAAGAAAAAGGTAAATACAAATTCTGGAAAGCAAACAAGTGCATTAATTATGATGATTTGTTTTCTGTTAAATTTAGACGCAGCAAATCAATTAAACCAAGTCAGTAAAAGTCCATGTGTAATAGTGGAATAAACACAAAATTAGAAACACTGATGTTATATATGGTGTTCTGCTCATGACATATTGTCATAGATTTAAAGTGGCTATAAACCTATGACTCAATTGATTGTAAGGTTGTGTTGATTGGACCATTGAATCAGATTTTTCACAGTTATTACTTTCACTATAATGTCATTATCTATAACAAGACAGACGATGCTAATTAACATATTCAAAAGTCTGAGGTGGTTATTATTTAATTTTCAGCTTTATACAAGATGCCAAAAAATGGGGTTCTCTTTATCCCACCAAAGCAAGTTTAACTTGATGGACGCTATAGGTGGTCATTTTGCAGATGAAGTTATAGATGCATTCAAGGTAAACTCTAAGATAAAATTATAAGTTTCTTACAAACGTTTCATCTTCCATGTAGTTCAATTATGTCTGTGCCTGATTATTCCTTCATTACTGTTATTGATAATGAACTGTGTACGCTTGTCAAACTCTAATATAATGGCTACATGTTACTAATATGTGAACAAATGTTTCAATCAAATCAGGCAGGAAAGAAACTTCAAGGTACAGGTGACAACTGGGACATCACAATCCATGCTCATAAAATGAGATCCGACCACCAGAACAAAGACATCCACTACTTTGCTTCACATTTGATTGTTGAAAGAGTGACCAGCGATCATTTGAGTTCTGTTACCCCTCAAAGGGATATAGCAAAACTCCCAGCAGATGAATATCTTTTAACTCCAAATGAGAAGGCAAAGCTACGTGAAGACTTCAAGGTCTTAGTAGGAAGAATTCTAGTTACTTTTGTGAAGGCACTGGGATTTCTTAGATCTGTGATTCCTGAACACATCGCTCACAGGTATCAAAAAGAAATGGGAGAGAGGTCTACCATCATTCCTCTCCCAATCCAACTCAAGGATGAAAAAAAGTATGACGATGTTGTGGATATCTTGTGTTTCTATGAGAACACACTTGATGAAATCTATACAAAGGCAGGAGTTATCCAGGCACCTCTRCTTCAAAGACCTGCAGAAAGGCATCAGTCATTTCAAGGCGACCACTCAAGTCCAGACCAACCGGATGCTCATGTGATCATTAATGACCCTACTGATCACATGAGCAAAGTTTCAGTTCCATTTGGTGGTGATCAACTGACCCGAGTCAGGTTTGCTMGTGCAAAAGAKCTCCGTGCTGGATGTCACACAGCCAAGGATCGTTTTGATCATTGCAGTCCTTTTGTGGGGGAAGGATTCCACACCAAAATGTCCTATCTTCAGGTAAGTACATGTATACTTGTATGACTCCCTATCACGTTGCACATTATTGAGGTGTT